CTGAGCTGCGTTTTTTAGAGGCTCTATGGGAGCTGGCGGGCTGAGGTGCTGGGGAGAGGTGCACAGGAAGTCCGGGGACTGACATCAGAAAGGCCATCATGCCTACAGGGGACATGAGATAGTCATGCGGAGGGTGGGGGGAAAGGGTGGGGGAAAAGAAATTTGCATCATAACAGTTTTTGCAAGGCAAAAAAAAAATAAAACCATCAATCCTTGACTCAAAAAAGAAGTTGATTAGAGGACCGTACTGGGGTCGGGGGAGGGAAAGCAGACACAAACGGGACCCCCCCCCCGGGAGGGCTGGACTTTAGAAGGCAGGAGGTTAGGAGAGAAACAATATGTGATGGCTTCATTGCCGAGTTCACTCGATCTCTCCGTTGAGGAATCCTGATCAAGTCATCTGCCTAGAAATCCCCCAACACATTTATTTTATTTATTTATTTATACTTTCAGTTTCTATACCGCTCAATCCCGGAGGCGGTTTACAAGCATTTTACATTCCTAACTAGGGCCACATACAATGTATATATAGGGAGGTGAGTGCCTATCAGGCACCCTGCCGGCGTGTTTGTTCTTTTTCCTTCTGCTGCTTCCTTACGGTGGAATCTTGTCTCTGCGGCTCCTTCTGGGGAGGCTCCCACAGTCTGCGACTGTGCGACGACTTTCCCACATGCCACAGAACGGGACCCAACACTTTCTGCAGAGATTCTAGGATATGTTCTGGTAAGAACACAGCTTGTTCTATGGGTTTTTTTTGGGGGGGGGGGGGAGTTAGGTAAGCATCAGCCAGCAATGGCCACCTAGTTTCTGCTTTCCTGCAAGGGTATCTATGTACTGTAATTGCATTCCGTTTTCAGCTAAAAGTTGGAAGTAGATCACGGGACTCCAAAAGGGAGTTATGTTTTGATCCCAAACGTGCCTCTGAGTGGGATCCTCTCTGATCTTGAGTTTGGTCCAGGTGGCGATGAAGAGGCGTCGGGCTAGTTTCCTGCTCTGCCTCCAATGATAACAGGAAGCTGGGTGGGACGGGGGGGGGGGGCTCTCTCTGCGGGCTCTCTCCCCAGCAGCTGGGCCTGACCATTGGTGGAAGGGTGTCTGGTTGCTGGCCATGCATTTCCCACAGTAAGTCGAGTCCCTTCTGAATACCTTGGAGATTGTGTGCTTGCTGCACTTCTGGGGAGTGCAGGATTTGAATACTAGGTACACGGTTCAACTTTCTTCCTTTCTTTTCTTTTCTTTTTTGCAGCGGCAAGTTTCTACTCCCTATGGACAATGCCTGCTGAAATCCTGTAAGTCAGAGGGGGGTACCAAAGAACTCTGGGACTTGCAGGGTCGGGACAGAGGCCCGTAGCCAGGATTCTGTGCCTTGTGGGGCAAAAAATTTTTCTGGCCATTATTTTTATGTCAGCTCTAATCTGCCCCCAAACCTGACAGCCTGTGGTCACCCCTCTCCCTCCCCTCCTGCAAGATTTAAAGGACCCTTCGGCTGATCGGTGGGGAGCACGTGGCCCACCAATCAGCTGGAGGGCCCTTTAAATCTTGCAGGAGGGAGAGGGGCCCATGCCATCCCCTGCTTCTTCTCAAAATGCATTTAAAGGATCCCTTTAAATGCTTTTGAGAAGAAGCAGGGGGTGTGCATGCAGCCCCCGATTCTTCTCAAAAAAATAGCCCACTGTAACTATGGGCCAGGGTCAGGCTTCAATGCCATGAACAGCTGCCAACAACATCCAGAAGGGTACAAAATAAAAGGTTATGCTAATGTGCCTGGCAGGCCAGAGTGGTCGGCTGTTCCTGGTGGCAAATTTTAAGATTCTCTTTTAAAGCAGGAGTGTTACGGGTGCTACCAGCTTGGTTGTTGTAAGTTATATTGTTTTTACTTTAGTGCTGTGCTGGAAGGCCAGGCTAGATTTTCTCAGTGGTGGCGGCTGGTGACCAGGGTACTCTCCAGGGAACCCTTGCTGTTCGGGAGCTTCTCAGCAAGGAAAGGCACTGTTTTCACCTTCCTGCCATAGGTAAGGGAGTATACTGAAAGGCAGGGCTTTTTTCGTCGAAAAAGCCCAGCAGGAACTCATTAGCATAATAGGCCACACCCAACAGCAGAAACTCATTAGCATATTAGGCCACACACCCTGACAGAGCAGCTCATTAGCATATTAGGCCAGAAGTGTGGTCATCCAGCCACATCCACCTTTTGCTTCTTATGCTGTTTACCTTGTTTGTTGTCAAAACCCAGGGCTTTTTTTGTAGCAGGAACCCTTTGCATGTTAGGCCACACACCCCTAATGTAGCCAATCCTAATGAGTTTCTGCTGTTGGGTGTGGCCTATTATGCTAATGAGCTCCTGCTGGGCATGGCCAACTCGGGAGCCAGCCGGAACTCCGTTCCTGTGCGTTCCTGCCCAAAAAGAGCCCTGCGAAAGGTATGATAACCATCTCCAAATAGAGGATGGTGTGGAGTTGTTTTCTGTTGCCCCAGAAGGTCGGATCAGAGCCAACGAGTTGAAATTAAATCAGAAGAGTTTTTAGCTAGACATTAGGAAGAAGTTCCTGACAGTTAGAGCGGCTCCTCAGTGGAACAGGCTTCCTCGGGAGGTGGTGGGCTCTCCTTCTTTGGAGGGTTTTAAGCACAGGCTACGTGGCCATCTGACAGCAATGCTGATTCTCTGAACTTGGGACAGATCATGAGAAGGAGGGCAGGAAGGGATGCCTCAGTGCTTAGTTGCCGTGGCCCTTTCTTACACGCCCAGGGAAATGCTGATCGCCACTTTGGGGTCAGGAAGCAGTTTTTCTCCAGGCCAGTTTGCCCGGGGATCCTTTTTTTGGCCATCTTCTGTGCTTACAGCAAGGGCCACTGGGGGTGTGGGGGGAGGTATTTGTGAATTTCCTGCACTGTGCAGGGGATTGGACTCGATGACCCTGAAGATCCCTTCCCAGCTCTATGATTCTGTGATAACACCGCCCCGGCAATGCTGCAGTTAAGAAGCCGAATTGCGTTACAGGGGCTGGTGGCCTCAAGCCTTGGTAGAGGGGAGGCCTCCAATGACATTAGTGGAAAAGTACCCGGGAGGCACCTGTCTGGATGCAGAAGAAGAAGAGCTTGGATTTATACCCCGCCCTTCACTACCCAAGGGAGTCTCAGAGCGGCTTACAATCTCCTTCCCCTTCCCCTCCCCACAACAGACACCCTCTGAGGTAGGTGGGGCTGAGTGACAGAAACTGCTCTTTTTCAAGAACAGCTCTTGTCAGAACTATGGCTTGCCCATGGTCATCCAGCCAGGTTCAAGTGGAGGAGTAGGGAATCAAACCCGGTTCTCCCAGATTAGAGTCCGCACACTTAACCACTACACCAAACTGGCTCTGCATATCCGAAAGCTGAGTTTGCAGCCAGTGCAGCTGCAAGAAGTGTGTGTGAGCAGGGGAGAGAGAGGAAAGGAAAGAAAAGGGGAATGAAATGTTAAAGGGGGGGGGAGAGACAAACAGGAAAGACTGTTAATGGGAGCTGGGGGGGGGGAGTGTTGGAGGAAAAAGAAAGCAGAGAAGGACACGGTAGGTAGGTTAGGATTATACAGTCGGCCAGATGATTCCAGGCCAAATATTGCTAATGGACTGCATTTCACTGTCATCTGACATTCCACGACCAGACTGCCAGCGTGGTGCAGTGGTTAATGTACTGGGCTAGCCATTTCAGAGACCCAGGTTCGAACCCCCCTCTCTGCCAGGAAGCCTTCTGGGAGGAGGGACCTAAGCCTACGCACACTAGGACTAAACCTACTTCATGGGTGGGGGACAACCACGGTCGCTGCTCCGAGTTCTGTGGAGGAAAGGGCCAGGCAAACCATACTAAACCAAATAAACAGATGAAACCCCATCATGCCATGGTGTAGGCAGCAGCTTCCCTTTAAAAAATTTTATTCTGAAATCATTTGTTTGCAAGGGCATGAGCGGGGCCTGCTCAGTGCTGGCTCCTGCAACCGACGCAGACAGCCGCCTCCAGTGGGCCACTGACTGGGGGGTGCCTCCAGCCGGAAAGAACTGGCCCGGTGCCTGTTTGCTGCCTCTGCGTGGTACTCTGGGATAAAAGTCAAAGAGAGTAACTGCTTACGCTGACGGAAAGCTTTTAATTAAATGTTCTAATAGAGTTTCATCACCACTGTTACCTTGTTTCTGCTCCGCTCTCCTGGCGCGATTACTAGAAACATAACGTATCTTTTTGCTCTTCTAATAAAAATCCATGTTTTAAAACTACTGGATCAATAGGTCTATTTAATACATTTCACAAGAGACATGGCCATGCCTAAGGTGGAACAGTGATTTTACAGGGCAGCAGCATCGAAGCTGGATATGCCAGCTGCAAATTGGATTCAAAGGTCTTGGAAAGCCACGGCCAATCAAAGCACAGAGTTCTGTGCAAGAGGGAGCAGTATTATAACGCAGCTTTAGATGCATAACAATGAAAGAAACGCATCTATGATGGCAAGAGGGCCACTGGAAATACAGGGGCAAAAGAGCAGTAGAATTCAGGATCCAGGGGAATGTGGCAGTCATTGCCTTTGTCCCAAGAGGGCATGAGCATGGGGGCCAAGTAGTAACTTCTTGCAGGCCAGACCTCAGCCTAGCGGAGGACAGTAGCCAAGCACCAATATAAGCCATTGGGGGGGGGGAGAAGGGGAATAAAAATAATCATATGGCAGTTGTGTGTGCAGTATAGCCAGAAGATCCTAAAACTGTCTGGCAGTCAGACGTTCTAGCTTTTAGTGTTGTGCACCACTAGGTGGTGAGCTGGACTTGTTTTTTTTAAGGCAAGAGATGTTTTAGAGGTGGCTTTGCCATTGCCTGCCTCTGCGTCATGCCTCTGGTAGTCCTTGGAGGTCTCCCATCCAAGTACTAGCCTGGGCCGACCCTGCTTAGCTTCCGAGGTCTGACGAGATCAGGCTATCCTGAGCTATCCAGGTCAGGGTGGGGGGAAGGGGAGACAAGAAGGAACTGTAGATGCTACATTACCTGCCAGAGCTTGGCTCAATTTGCTGGGCCTCATCACGTTCACAGGTAGTTTTGGCACACTGAACAAGACACACACAAAAATGTGTTAGGTTTTGAAACACATAGTTAAAGCATCAGCAGAGAACCCGATAGATAACCAATGAAACAAGCATACATTTCCTTCTGGTTCTGCACGCCAGGAGGTGGAGCAAAAGACTGTGTAGGGCAACAAAACCCCACCTCCCTGATCCCTGTTAAAGTTATTTCGGAATGTCTCTAGCTGAGACTTGAGCAGCCACCCACTTTCAAGCATGCGTCGCTGCCATGAGGACTAGAAACTGTTAAGAGCGACCGAGATGGATTTTCAGGAAACAGGACTTCAGGGCCCCGTACCGCAGTCTGCATCCCAGTCTTTGGCCTAATTGGCAGGAACAAATGCCAGTCAAACCCAATTTTCCTGTTTCAGACCTGGCTGGTGCACAAAACCTACTCTTTACAGAGAGAAACGGAGCCACTGTCCACAGCTCTGCAGGGGTTCTGCAGTGCAGACCAACGTTCTGTGCGCTGTTAGGGCAGAAATGCCAAATTTAAAAGGCTTTCCGTTTCAATAACCGTAGACCCAGCGAGGAAAGAAATCAGGTCAGCCTGCACGGGCGAACCATCTCAAGCTTTCTAGCTTGGGGCGAGAGACACGGGAGAGAGCCGAGATCAAAGCACGGCACGGCTCGGGAACCAAGGTAGCAACATTGGAGTGCTTCTAATTATGAACATCAGAATCATCTCTGCTTGGAGGCAGAATTCTGTGAGTGTTAAGAAGAAGAAGAAGAGATTGGATTTATACCCCGCCCTTCACTTGGAGTCTCAGAGCGGCTTACAAACTCCTTTCCCTTCCCCTCCCCACAACAGACACCCTGTGAGGTGGGTGGGGCTGAGAGAACTCTGACACAAACTGCTCTTTTTCAAGGACAGGAGTGCCAGAGCTTGTGACTGACCCAAGGTCACACCAGCAGGTGCAAGTGGAGGAGTGGGGAATCAAACCCGGTTCTCCCAGATTAGAGTCCACACACTTAACCACTACACCAAACTGGCTAAGTATGCAAGCCCATGCAGAAGTAATTAACAGACTTCTGATCACACGCTTCTGTTAGGCACAAAGAAGGAAACTGTCCAGGGCTGTCTCTCGGCCCTGAAACGGTCTCAACTGTGGCTTAAGTTTTTACCGTCTCTTTTCCCAAACACTAGAATCACCTTCAAAGCATGCTCACCTATTAGAAAAACCCTGAAGAGGGGGACAGACTGTTAAACAAGACTTGATGAAGGACCCACCAATGCATCATAGTCAGGGGGTTTTTTGTAGAAAAAGCCCAGCAGGCACTCATTAGCATAATAGGCCACACCCAATGACAGAAACTCATTAGCATATTAGGCCACACCCCATGCCTTCCCTTGGTTTGCCCGGGAAGGGAAGGGAAGGGAAGGCAGTTTAAACGGCCTTCCCTTGGCCTGCCTGGGTGCCACGCGGCTGCGGGGAGCCCGGGAATGCCGGCCCTTGGACAGGCTGGGGAAGGCCCGGGGAGGCATTTAAATGCCTCCCTGATCCTTCCAGGGGCCCCCCTGGCCCACCTGCCTCGGAGTTGCTGGCGGGTTGCTCTCCAGGCCTTCCCTCTGTAGCCACGCATGTAGAGATTTTGGCTGTAGTGGGCGTGGCCAACTCTGAAGCCAGCCGGAACTCCGTTCCTGTGCGTTCCTGCCCAAAAATAGCCCTGATCATCGTACTTCTAGAGTTTAAAGGTTTTTGCATGTCATAGTAAGGTAGCTATTATCACTGTACTGCGGATACAGGGCTAAGAGACAGTGGCTCGTTTGAAGTGGAGATGAGATCTGAACCGGCAACCTCTCCACTCATTCCTCAGCCAACAGACAGAGCATCATCGCTTAACACCAGAGACTTGTATGGGGGTGACCATTTGGGCAAACCTAGTTATTTCTCAGGCCTGGTGTTTTCTCTCTCTCTCTCTCTCTCACTCTCGTGGTTGTCATTCAAGTCCTTGCACCTGAATGAAGCCAATCCAATGAGGGAGAGCTGTGCGTGAGGTCATAATATCCTCCCTGCACAGGCCAAACCACCCTGATGCCACAAAACTCTTAAAGCCCCATCTATTTAAACACCCATCGCTACACCTACGAAGCTACCTCATTATCTAGTTCGCCTGTGCATCCGTCTAGCTTCGCAGCACTGCTATCCTGACTGCTGGCTGCTCTTCAAGGCCAACTGGAAATGCCCGGGACTGACATTAGGACCCTTGTGTCTGCGAAGCAGATGCTCTGCCTACCACACAAAACCAGAAAGCTGGTGCGCTGCAGAACAGGGACCTTGGATCACAGCCAGTTACTTTGGCATTCAGATTCCCTGGGGCACTAGGGAGGGCTGGCTCACTGCTTGAGCTAGGAAGTCCCGGATTCAAATCATGTCTCAGCTACACAACCAGGTGGCCTTAGCCAGGCCCCTCTTCTTTTGGCCTGAGCTCATCGTCCCCACCCACATCTGAAATATGGGACTGACGCTCCTGACTGACCCAACCGGGCTGCTGCAAGGATCAAAATGTAAAGAAGAAACCCTGGCGGGATAAGAACAAAAGCCCCACTGTCTAGTCCTGCCGTACCCAGCATGGCACCCATGGCTGCCACGACGCCTTTCCTGGCGCCAGCCAAGCGTTTTAACACAGTGGGTGGGGCCGGGTGGAGCTTTCGCCCAGCTGGGCTTCTGACAGGGCCCTGGAAATCTGAGTGGCTGTGCCAGTTTCTTAAGGATTCAGGTGGTCTGCCCGGTGGGTCTGAAGCAGCAGAACAAAGTTTGAGTCCGATGGTGCCTTGAAGACCGACAAAGTTTTACTCATTTATCTCATTGGATTTCTATCCCGCCCTCCCCTGCGCAGGGCAGGTTACAACCAATGCTCCCTGTAAGCTGTGGAGTCTTGTGAGTAAACATTCAACTTTGTGAGCTACCAGCTTAAAGTTGTGAGCGAGCGATCTGGCGGCTGCATAAATCAGTTTGCTCTGGAGCCCGTCCTTCCTGAGCGAAGACAAAAAATGTCTGAGGCAGAGGCTAAAAAACCGTGAGCTAGCTCACACTCACTCAGCTTAGAGGGAACACTGGTTACAACGGACGAGGATAGAACAGTTAAAAATTAAAAACACAGTTCCACGACGTGAAAACATATTCGACAGACGACACAACTCAGAAGACGGCGATCAGGCATGGTTAACGAGCGCTCCCAAAATATACTATTTGTATGTGTGCTCGAGATGGACCAGGTACGTGGTGCTTGGGGGGGGGGTCAACAGTGGGAGGGCTTCTAATGTCCTGGCCCCACTGGTGGACCTCCTGATGGCTCCTGGTATTTCTGGCCACTGTGTGATACAGAGTGTTGGACTGGATGGGCCTTTGGCCGGATCCAACATTGGCGTCTCTAAGGGGTAAAAGCACCATCGATAGCACAACATAAATGGCACGAGGCAGGGTGGAGCAGGGGAGGCCGATGGAATCAGACACCCACCACCTCGACCAAAGGCCTGGTGGAACATCTCCGTTTTACGGGCCCTGCGGAACTGTAGTAGGTCCCGCCAGAGCCCTGATCTCCCTCGGGAGAGTGTTCCGCAAGGCCGGAGCCAGAGCCGAAAAGGCTCTGGTCGAGGCTAAGCAGATGTCTTTTGGGATGGGGACCACCAGCATATGTCGGTCTGACGAGTGCAGAGCTCTTTGGGGGACTTATTGGGAGAGACGGTCCTTTATTCAAGGTACAAGCTTTCGTGTGCATGCACACTCCTTCAGATACTTTTTCAAATACTTCTTCAAGATACTTCTGAAGAAGTGTGCCTGCACACGAAAGCTTGTACCCAGAAATAAACTTTGTTGTTCTTAAAGGTGCCACTGGAATCAAACTTCAGATTTTTAAGAAGCGGCTTCCGTGCCACAGCACAAGGATTTCCACTGCATGACTGAATGTGAGAAAATACGTTTAGCGGTATGTTCGTTTTAAAAGGCATCCTGTTAAACAGCGCTTCTGCCTGAAATGCCGAAGAGCTACTATTGGAATGATGCACGACCTCACGCCCTGACATGTTGTGGCTGGCTCCGCCTCCTGCAGCAGCCATTTCCGTGGTTGCACCCACCCCCCTGTGTCAGAATTCCGAAGGTGGCCAGAGATTCAAAAAGTCTGGGGAGCCCGGATCTAGTCGCCTTTAAAAGCATGTGATCAACATGGTCAGCCCGCAGCAATGAATTCCGTAAGCTGAACAAGAAGGACCTTTGCTTGTACAGGAACCTGCCACCAACTGGCTATACTGATGACACCCCCTGCCCCAAGCACCATTGATAAATTTCTAAAAGCTCTGTTTGTTGTTTTACAATTAACCAGGTCGACGCATGTGAAATACTTGGAATGCTCATTCTTGCCAAGTATTAGTAGCAGCATCAGATGACGACGCGCACACTTCGTACAGGTCAAGTACATGCAAAAAGATCATACCTAACTCCTTGGGACGTGACCACCGGCCCTGGGCTTGGCCCAGGAACCGCTGCTGGCTGTGGCGCTGCCCCCGTGCTGTGTGAATTCAGCCTCGGCATTGACCTTGCTCCAGACATGGTTGGCTTGTTATAAGGCAGGAAGCCCGGGAGAGAAGCCCCAAACCCAGCAGTCCTGCCGGCCGCCTGCATTCCGGCTGAAGACCCATCGCCATGGAATGCGGATATCGTGTGGTTATGGGTCCCGACCCGCTATTCAACAGGCACTGTTGGCATGAACAGGTGGGCCCTGCATGAGCAGGCCCTGTGTTCGTGGCTATGGGGTACGGTGAGTCTACACGCCTCTGGATCCTACGCTGGTAGCCGGTGGTCTTGTTTTTCTGGGTCTGAGTCACAAAATCGACGGCGTAGTTATAGCCGAAGGGCCCGAGATCCACTTGGGGGCAATGGAAGGCGAAGGCTTGCTCCAAGTAGACGCAGACGTTCATCTCGTAGGGGAACCAGCCTCCTTCATCGTTCTGCCACTCCCAGACAACGCCCTGCCCGGCCGCTGAGTCCATCTGGAAGATGTGTCGACGCACGGCCCGCATGGTCCCTGAGCAGATGGAAAAGAGGGATAGGGCACACCAGAAAAACTGAAGTGTCCAGCAAGACATGAGGCACAAATTAAGTATGGCCTAGCTTGATTTGAAAACGTAATCGAAATCAGACATTATAGGACCGATTCACATGGGGGGTGGGGGGAGTGAAAATATACAGCAGGGCTATTTTGGGGCAGGAACGCACAGGAACGGAGTTCCGGCTGGCTCCCGAGTTGGCCACGCCCAGCAGGAACTCATTAGCATAATAGGCCACACCCAACAGCAGAAACTCATTAGAATTGGCTACATTAGGAGTGTGTGGCCTAATGTGCAAAGGAATTCCTGCAACAAGAAAAGCCATGGGTTTTGACAACAGACAAGGTAAACAGAATAAGAAGCAAAAGGTGGGTGTGGCTGTGGCTGGATGACCACACTTCTGGTAACATGCGGCCTAATATGCTAACGAGCGGTGCAGTCAGGGGTGTGGTCTAATATGCTAATGGGGTTTTACTGCTGGTGTGGCCTATCATGCTAATGAGTTCCTACTGGACTTTTTCTACAAAAAAAGCCCTGATATACAGTAGTGTCTCATAAGGGCGCTCCCACACACGCGGAAGAATACACTTTCAGTGTACTTTCTGGCTGGATTCTGCAGTGCGAAAACAGCAAAATCCACTTGCAATCAATCACAAAAGTGCTTCTTTCTTTGCCATCAAGCCACAGCTGACTTATGGTCGGGGTTTTCGAGGGAAGAGACCTTCGGAGGCGGTCTGCCATGGCCTGCCTCTGCACAGCGACCCTCGACTTCCTTGGTGGTCTCCCTTCCAAACACTAGCCAGGGCCGACCCTGCTTAGCTCCCGAGATCTGATGAGATCGGGCTAGCCCGGGCCATCCAGGTCAGGGTGAAGGTACATTATCAGGCATCAATTTGTAGGACACTCCAAATGAACAGACCTGGATGTCAGTTAGTCACCCGCTCCCAGCTTAACCTACCTAAGGGCTGTGATGAGGATAAAGCAGAAGGCGAGGAGGAGGAGGAGGAGGTAGAGGAAGAGAGCTCTGAAGGAGAGCTGTGACTGGCCCAAGGTCACCCAGCTGGCTGCATGTGGAGGAGTGGGGAATCAAACCTGGTTCTCCAGATCAGAGTCCGCCACTCTGTAGCCACTACACCACAGGGGAAAACCACGTCACAGGGGCACCCCTCTTGTCGGGAAGTGGGTGATTCTCTCCGAGGCCTGTGTGATGAACCAAATGTTTCTGGGGATCTAATTTCCCGAAGAGAATGATTGGGAGGGGATCAACAACGGCTCAGCCTAGAGGCCCTGGGAGAGATCTGTACTGTCCCCTCCAGGTTGGAGAGGTTGCCCGGTCCCGATGAAAGCCGCACAGAGAACCCAGAAGACCCGAACAGCAGCCAGATCCTCGCAGCACATCCTCTGCAGCTGTGGCTGCCTTCTGCTGGGATGTTCCGAAGCCCAGGAAGAGAAGCTTCCTGTTATTCTCTGTGGCTTCCTATGAAGAAGCGTGGCTTTGTCTGCCTGGCAGCCAACAGGCAGAATGCAGGGGGCCTGTTTTTCACTCTGCGGTTAGAAGCCTCTTCAGAGTGCAAGTGCGTGTTTTAAAACACCTGGTTTTCCTTTTGACTCTCTCAGCACAGAGAACCAGCCTCGCTCCTGACTAAAAGGGCCACTGACAGAAACAGTTCTCCTTGCAACAGAAATTCCAGGGAGTTTTTATTTAGTGCCAGCGCTGAGCATGTCCCGGAGGCAGAAGGTGTCGCTTTGCTACAAGTTGGCCAACCGTTGGAGGCTGTTTCGGTGCTCTTACTCTCTAGCAACGTGTTCTGAACGTACAAACGCAACTGAAGGAGACCCAATGGGAATGCCATTATTGTTCAGGATTGCCTTACTGTTCAGAATGAGCCTTATTGTTCAGGATGAGCAGGCTGATATTAAAATCAGACGATGCTCACCACGACAAGTTGCTTGCACGTTTTGCCCCCAGATAGCCAACTTTCAGCAATCGCTGTGCGTGCAACTTTGGCTGCAAGGGGGAAAGCAGAAATGTCAGGAATGCAAAGTCAACCCTCTGGTTTTGCCACCCTCTGGAATTGCCATTAGCGAGCAGCAATGGCCGAACAGAAGGGTTATTTTGCTACTTAGCCTCTCTGTCATAGAATCATAGAATGTTAGAGTTCGAAGGGACCTTGCAGGTCATCTAGTCCAACCCCCTGCACTCTGCAGGAGCATAGCCGGAAGATAGCCCTACAACATACCCAAAAGATGGTCGTCCAGCCTCTGCTTGAAAACATCCAGCAAAGGAGCATCCACCACCTCCCGAGGCAGTCCATTCCACTGCTCAACCACTATTACAGTTAGGAGGTTTCTCCTGATATTCAGCCGGTATTGACTCCCTTGTAATTTCCACCCATTAGATCTAGTCTTGCAATCCGGAGCAAGAGAGAATAGATCTGCTCCATCTTCTACATGACAGCCCTTCAAATACTTGAAGACTGTAATCATGTCCCCTCTAAGCCTTCTCTTTCCCAGGCTAAACATTTCCACCAGGTAGGGGCCGCCACCGAAAAGACCCCGGCCCTAGTAGCAGCTAGCCTGGCCTCCCTCGGCCAGGGAGGGCCGGGGAGGGTCAACCGATTTTGAGACCCAGACCGTAGTGCTCTCTGGGGTATAGTGCTCTCTGGCGATGAATGTGACGTGTGTGCTCTGCTATTGGGGAGGGGTCCTTTCGAATTGCCTATATTAACTGGAGACTCACCAAAATCATTAGTTCTAACACAAAGATGCTTTAACCTGGAACTAGTTTACATTTCTCAGTAAACAAATCTTTTGCTAAAGAGAGTGTTGTTGAGAGTAACTCGGCCAGGGGTCTGACACCATTCTTATTACACTTAATCCTGGGGGAGGGGGTGTCACCCAATGAACTGAATGGCATCAGACTCAGGAAAGACAAAAATGAAGTCCTTCACTGAAGGGACAATTCACTCACACAACTCCCTCCCATAGCTCATTACAAATGGCCATGACTAGCCTAGACAGGTTTAGAAGGGAATCTGACAAGTCCATGCAGAAGAGGTCCATGGCTATCAGCCATAATGGCTACAGTGGAACCTCCATTTTCCAAGGCTGTATACCTTTGAATATTGGTTGCTAAGAGGCAGCAGCAGGAGAAGGCTTTGGCCTCTGTGTCCCAACTTGCTTGCTTTCTGTGGGCATCTGCTGCCACAGGGGGAGAAACAGGATGATGGGACCGGATCTTCTTTAAAATATTTGTGTGTGTGTGTGCGTGCGCACCTGGAAGTCATGGCAACCTCTGCTGACTGGCCCCTACTGGAGGATATTCAGAGAGATGGCTGAACAAAGCCTACCCCCGCCTCCCACCTCTGGTATTCCAAGGAGGTCTCCCATTCAAATACTTCCCAGGGTCGACCCTCCTCAGTTTCTGAGATCTGACAAGACCTGGGCTATCCAGATCAGGGCCCTGCAGGGATCTTCTTATGGCCTTGACACCTAAGAATATTGCAATGCAAATTAGATAGGGGCTGCCTTTGGGGGGGGGGGGAAGGGTTCAGAAACGGCAGCTGTTTCAGAATGCAGCTCAGAGATGACCAACTCGGGTAGGTCCTAAAGATCGGTGAGGTGTGGCGGTCAGCAACTAGCAAAAGGGATGCTTCTGCCCTTCCGCCGCCGCACCCCACCCAGCATAGCCATCCTTACCTGTATCCTGCCGGAATTGCGTCAGGCTCTGAATGTCAATGATGTACGGGGCCAAGGAGGCGTCTGCCTGTCCCAGGGAGATGCTGCCGTTGACGGGCCAGGTCCCCGACAGCCGCCGCCCCTTCAGCAGCAGGGCCTGGAAAGACTGCTCGATGAAGCTGCATACGCCACTCCGGTACGGCCTCCACCGGCCAAGTTCGTCCTGCCACTCCCAGACTGCCACTCCTGGATCGGGCAGGGCAGGGGGAGGGCCAGGTGGCCCAGCCGGATGACTGGGTCCGGCAGCCATTTGGACCAGTCAGGGGAGAGGGGAGAACCGAGCTTTGGAACGGTGTTAGTCAGAGTTCATCTTTCCATCTTCAGCAAGTCAGACCTTGGATTTAAAAGAAAGAAAGGGGAGGGGGAGGGAAACAGTCATGAGGTCTCACCGGGCCAGTTGTGTTCTGGTGCGGCATAGAACCCAGAAGACATTCGGTCCCTTCTCCAGACAGTTTACAATATAAGTTAGCTAAGCAGGGGGGCCAAGGACAAGCAAAAGGGACGGGAGACTCAACTAACAACGGGACGGCCCATGAAGTAAAAACAAGAGTGATGGCGGCAGGAATAAAGAGCTTTAAAAGGGGATTCGATAGATTCATGGGGGATAGGTCTGTCAACGGCTGCTAGCCATGGTGGCTGAGGGGAACCTCCACATTCAGAGGTGCTAAACCAGGAGGCAACATCAGGGGAAGGCCTTGGCCTCTTTGCCCCGTTGTTGGCCGCCCAGAGGAACTGGTTGGCCACTGTGTGAGATGGGATGCTGGACTGGATGGACCACTGGTCTGATCCAGCAGGGCTCTTCTTACGTTCTGGCCTCATTTGGAATACTGTGTACAGTTCTAATCACCGTATCTCAAAACAGCTTTGTTCTGCCACCCATGTAACAGTATGACCTGGAGCCTTCTGTGTTTACAAAGCACTGAATATACATTACCTTGGCATCCCTACAACCTCCCTGCAAGACAGGTCAGTATTATCACCCCCCCATACTGTAGACATTAGACAGAGAGAGCTGCTTGCCTCGGATGGCCCAGTGAATTTGTGGCAAAGGCGACATTTGAATCGGGAACTTCCTGAATTGTAGCTAATTCTTAGCAACTGTCCTGCTCCAGAGGACATTCCCTGTAATGATTTAAAGTTTTAAGTATGTGTTTCTTTAAATGTCTTTAAAAAAGCATTAAGATTCTAAAAAAGAAAGTAGTAATAATTATAGAGGACATATTAGAGAGTCAAATCCTAATACTGTCAGAAGAGCGTGAGAGAAAGAAGCTGACAGAAGCCTGAGTTAAAAAGGGAAAGAATTTAACTGAGACAAATGTAATAAAGATTGGACAAGGGACATTTGGAAGAGAAAGGAGGAGTTTGAGAGAGGGGAGTGACTGCAAGGACAGAGTCAGTCCTCAGTCAGTCAGAAGTCAGAAGTTATTAACTTACTGAAGAAAAGTTGTTAGACACCCTGAAACCAATGCACTTCTTGTACAAATAAAGTTTTATTTTGTTTTATGAGAACCTAGAGTTATATGAGAACCTAGAGAGTTGGACTATATGGAAGTCAGAGTGTCGAAGAATAGATTCTTTTGAACTATGGTGCTGGAGAGGACTCTTGAGAGTCCCTTGGACTGCAAGGAGATCAAATCAGTCAATCCTAAAAGAAATCAACCCTGACTGTTTCCTGGAAGGCCAGATACCGAAGCTGAAGCTCAAAGACTTTGGCCACCAAATGAGAAGGGAGCACGCACTGGAGAAGACCCTGATGCGGGGAAAGACTGAAGGTCAAAGAAGACGGGGACAGCAAAGGATGAGATGGTTAGACAGTGTCATCGATGCAACGAAGATGAAATTGAGCAAACTCCAGAGCACGACGGAAGACAGGAGGGACTGGCGTGATGTGGTCCATGGGGTCGCGAAGAGTCGGACTCGACTGTGCGACTGAACAACAACAAGAGTTATATGCTGTTACAGTACAACAGTCTCATCTTCAGGACCACGTAGTTCCACGAAGGAGCCTTAGAGCTTGGGCACAAATACTAAGGGGAAAGTTGAACAATAAGATCTGGAATTAAATTCCTGGTAGCGGCGTTACATCCCCATGGATAAAGAGAGACATAACAAGAAAGTTAAAGGCACACCATACCTAAAGTAAAGTAAAGGTTCCCTTGCTCGAAAGCCAGTCGGATCCGACTCTAGGGCTGCGGTGCTCATCTCCGTTTCAAAGCCGAAGAGCCAGCGCTGTCCAAAGACGTTTCCGTGGTCATGTGGCCGGCATGACTAAACACCAAGGCGCACGGAATGCTGCTACCTTCCCAGCGAAGTGGTACCTATTTATCTACCTGCAATGTCTTGCTTTCGAACTGCTAGGTTGGCAGGAGCTGGAACTAGAGACGGGAGCTCACTCCATCATGCGTCACCCGGGTCTCGAACTGCTGAACTACTGACCTTCCACAGCCTGCAGTTCAGCGTCTTAACCACTTGAGCCACCGCAGCTCCATACCTAACCACATGAATAAAAAGAGAGTAGTCGTGACACTCCCTCATTCTCACAGAAGGCTCAGAGGGGGCTGGGCGTTGACAGAAGCCTCCGGCTGACAGTGGAAGCCGGTGGTCACAAGGAGCCCACAGTCACCCTTTCAGAGAGGCCCTTTTCAGCCCAATTTCAATCCTGTCCTTTGCCTTCAAGCCACCACTTACCTGGCACGCTTTAGGACAAAAGAATGCCACGGCAGAGAGAAAAGAGCCAAGATGCTAGGGAAAACCCAGGGCGGGCAGCTTGCTCTGAGAGACCGCTCTCTGACAGAGGCACAAATGTGCCATATGGAGGGCTGTCGGCTACTGTGGCATCAGCATATCCCTGCACCCTTTCCCTGGAAGAGAGAGGCTAAGGAGGGCAAAGGAGTCACTAACCTGGCCCCTCTTTACTTGGGCAGAAGCCAGGGCTTGTGCAATGCAGGAAAGCACACTCCGCCCACCAGAGAGTTGAGAGGATCAGGCCTGCTCCACTTTCGTTTCGTGGCTGTCTTGCTTTCTGCCTTCCCTCGTCGGACTGCCGAGCCTGCGCCACAGACAAAGGCACAGAAGTGCCACTACAGGTCCAGGGTAAAAGAACCCCACAAGGGTGTTCCCATTCGACTGACCTGCCAGAAGTGCTGAGGACCCCTGAACCCTGGCCCTCAGGACCAACTGACTGCATCCCTCCTCTTCCAAGACTTGGGGAGACTGAACTTGTCAACATGAATAAAAATGCCATGGAACAACAAGGAGAGGGCAACGAGGGCCCTGGGAAACACAGCGGGAGAATATGCCAAGTAAACACGGAACAGGCTTTGTGGGGAGAGAGACCTCACTTCTGAAGCTCAGTGAACGAGCAAAAATACAGCCAGGCTTCAGACCAGTGCAGAAAAAGCAGCCCTTAATTGAACACGGGGCAGTTAACAATCTAGCCTTAACTGCTAAAAACAGCGCATCCAACACCTGTTCATTCAAGAGTGACTCTCAATGTGCACGACGATTGCACAGCAAACGACGGGACAGGACTCTGCCTCGAAGACCTAATTGTCCAAGATTTCTGTGCTCCTTTGCCATATGCCACTAGAATTCTTACACGGTGCCTCCTGACCTCTGGAAGGTTCAGACATGACCAGTGCCAGAATGCCATTTACTTTAACAAACACACACCCCACAACACACACACTCAAGCATTCTAGGACATCAGTAAAAACCATCACTGAACAGTTAACAATTACAGATGTAAAATACTCGGAAAGGTTAAAGTCATTGTGGGGGGGGGGGGGGGGTTTTTGGGGGGAATTTTGCAGGGAGAAGCCCTGACATTTAGGGGGAAATTAAAACACATGCAATACTTACATTTCTATCAAACCTAAATTTATTTTGCCTCTTCAACAACATAAAGTGTATCATTTAGAACTTAGGTGACACATACAGTTTTCAAAGTACAAAGTACAAGAAAAACTGCAAAAAATATGCAATACTTGAAAGAGAGAGCACTGCGAACAGCTGCATCCTATTCTACCTTAGCACGTCTTAAATTTTTGCCATCTGAGAGGCAGGGAAAAAATAAAAATTGAAAGTAGAAAGCAAAATTTTGTAGCAGGGAAAGGAAGTGTATTATTTGGATGGAAAAGAGTCTGATACAGTCACAGCACCGAAACTCACCTGATCACTCTTTTTGAGCCAAACAGGGATGTATTTTATATTTGATAAAGAGATCAGAACTCGTGACAGAACAACATAAGCTGCTTTGGGTTCCCATTGGGGGAGAAAAGAAGGGTATAAATGAATGCATGAAATCCAGCCTTTTCCTGGATTTTTACGCCAGTCAACTACTTAGCTGTCAACTTCTTCAGACGATTCCATTTTAACCACCACAGTAGGGGCTGAGTGATGACAGAACGTACCATTCCCACTTTTAACTGTCAGCATGGTACACAGCGTTCTGTACCCTCAATCCTATCTGGATATCAAATTAAACTTTATAATATCAAAAAACCACTGATTTCTTTATTATCAAAACGATTATAGCACGTTAAAGCAAAAAAAACCCATAAACTCTACATTAACACATCCTTGAACATTATGTTGTATATGTTTACAGTTTTCATTGGAATGATCACCTAAACACATTAGTTGTCTTACATAATATTTTTCATTCTATATGTTTTGAGTGAGAAGAACGTTTCTTAAAAAAGCATTTCACTAAATCCAAGAGAGAGAGAAATGGGGGTTTTTTTGTGCAGTGCTCCCCATTTTTTTCCTATTGGGAAGACTGAAAAAAGTCCTTTAAAACATTAAAGGAAACCAATTCCCCCCCCCCATCCCAGGCACTTTCAAAATCTACTCATAACATATACCACCACTTAATATAGATATTCACAGTTTTGTCAAGGTACTTTGGGGCACATAGGCGTTCTGATTTTGGAACAGGATAGATATTTACAGAGAACTTTTCCTACGCATGCAAGAGATCAATCGTCTCTGTAATCAACACACTCCTGAGACACATGGCATTCCAGAGATTAATAGCTTTACTATGGCAGAAGCTTTGGTGGGCAACTGCCCACAGATTAGGTGCGTGAAGCATTATCCTCTGCTTTACAATCCTCTCCAGCAGCCTTTCAAATAAGTCCACAAAAGCTTCCAATCTACAGATCCCTTATCAACCATCTGCACATGTATACCTATGGTGGCCATGCTTAGCATAGACCATCAGACAAAGGGGTTTAGATAACTTCATAGAGGACAGGTCCATTGTTGGCAGCCAACAGCCATGTTCAGAGACAGAACACAGGTTGATGTAAGGGGAGTCATAAGAACATACGAAGAGCCCTGCTGCATCACACCAGTCGTCCATCTAGTACGACATCCGTGTGTTCTGTAGAAAAGGCTAGATGGGGGGTGGGGGGGGGCAGGGAAAACAAAAGAGAAACTGCCAAAGTGGAACACAAGAAATTTGGAAACCTCCCCAGGGGAAAACCATAGGAGAAGTAAGTTCGAACCACGGAGGGGCCACGGCACTGTGGAATAAAGCATTTTCTTCCCATCAGTTAGTCCCAGGTTCACTCTCCTGTTAAAAGGTTTTCTTGGGAAGCTGGTGTTGAGAGCCAGTGCGGTGTAGTGGTTAGAGGATCAGATTAGGATCTGGGAGACCCAGGTTCAAATCCCCACTGTACCATGGAGGGAAACTGGGTGACCCTGGACCAGTCACACACGTTCAGCCTACCCCACCCCATAGAATTATTGTGAGAATAAAACGGAGAAGGGTATAAATGAAACTAATAAATGAATAAAGGCCTTTCTCCGCCTGAGGCCCTGGTGCACTAGTGGCAGTCACAGAAGGCGATTATTGAACGATTCTGATTCCAGACACAGATGTCTGGAATGTTCAAATAACTCGCAGGTTCAAGCCCTCAATCAGCCACAATGCTCAATGGGCAGTAACTGTGAGCCAAACACACTCTGTCAGCATGAACTACCTCACAGGGCTGTTGACAGGGAAACAGGGAGGGCGGGGAAAAAGGGGGGGGATCCCCATGCATACCACCCTGGGCTTGCTGCAGGAGGGGTGGGACAAAAAAAGATGATCATCGTTGCAACAAAAACTATGACTGTAAACTATCTATTGCACTTGCATCTTACAGGGCATGTTAAAGTCCACACTTCTCGGTAGTTAATACTAACTGGCTAGCCATAATCAGTTTTCTTAGGGACCGAGCCCAGATTGCTGCCGACCCCGGCTTGGCAAATCCCTAGAGATGTGGAGGCAGTGCCTGGGGACGGGAGAAAGCGGGGATCTGATGCCACAGGGTCCACCCTCCTCTGCAGCTGCCATTTCCTCCAGGGGAACTGACCTCTGTAGTCTAGAGACCGGTCATCATTCCGGGAGAACTCCAGCCCCCCCCCCGGGGGTTGGCAACCCTCCCCCCACAGAGCTGACAGCTACTCCCCTTCCCCCTTAATCGCCTTTTGGGGGGAAGGGGAGGAAACGGAGCCCTCCTCATCCCAGCCACTCACTTGCGCTCGCTGCCAGTCCAGGGAGGTTCTCTCTTCTTCCTCTTCCTTTTCCTCTTCCTCCCGTTAGCACCGCCTTAGCCAGACGACAGAAACATCACGACAGCAAGCGCCCACTCTTCCCGAAACTCTCTACTTTCTCCCTTGCCCCGCCCCTCACGGCCATGGAGCATCATGGGACTTGTCGTTTTCCGAGGAACAGAAGCGCGCGCGCCTTAGGGCTGAACGAAGTGCTCCGTGTGCCAGAGGCAGTGCCCTAGGTTCGCGGAGCACCATGGGGAATGTAGTCTCTGGAGTCGCGAAACCGCGCTTTCTGTTTCTTGAACTTTGCGTTTTCCCCAGCGGGAGCAGAACGACGCTTAGTGTTAGATCGCGCTAACAAAGGACTCGTACAGTGATTCAGCAAGTGATTCAGCTTTATTGGAAGTAACGAGCAAGCACTAACTCAGTAAGAAACCAGAACAGAAAACAGTGGGAGCTTATGCTCCTTTTAAACATAACCGGGCTAATGTAGCCACGCCTATTTACAAATAACAACCAATGAGATTGCTAGAATAAAGACCAATGGGAGTCTTTCCCTCCTAGGGAATGGTATCGTTCTGATTGGTCGCTGTTACGAAGCGACCAATAGGAAGTTCGCTCAGAGGAGCCCTGGTCTGGCTCGAAGCTTAACATGGGAGTCCTATGAGGTGATTCATGTAATCATTTCAATACATTACAATTCCTCCCCCCTAAGTTAAGCCATCATCCCAATTGTTTTATTATTTACAAACATGCAATCAACCCTTGTACATCAGTTATTCCAACAGTATTTACACTCATAGTCCTTCAGATAAGTCGGCATTTGCCGCGAACGCTGGGACCTGCGGAGCGGTGCAGGCTCCACGGGCAGACAAGGTTGTGGGTCAGAGTGGGGTTCACTACAGCCTGGATCAGGCACAGACTCGACTGGGATTTCAGCCCCGCACACAGGGTTCTGCCCTGACTCGGGGACAGTACCGGGCCTTTCGGTACTCACCGCCTGCTCTGGGGGTGTCCACTCGACATCAGGGGATTCAGCCGTCGGAGAGTCAGCGCTGTCCCTAGCCCAACGTCTCCTTAACTGATCTATGTGGCGCCGCCATATTCGACCGTCAGCTAACTGCACCACATACATTCGAGTACCCACAGAGTCGGATATAACCCCAGGAAGCCACAAGTGCCCGTTTGCATAATTTCGTGCGAAAACCTTGTCCCCTTTTTCAAACATGCGCACCTTCGGTTGCGCAGTGGTACGCTCGGACTGATCTTCTGTGAGGTCTGGGTGCATTCGGTTCAAACGGGTCGTGAGTCTCCGCCCCATTAACAATTCGGCCGGACTACGGCCTGTAGCACTACAGGGGGTGGTGTGCTGCAGCA